CGTCAGTGTCCAGAAATTTGCTTCTGAAGGCACTACTTTCGAGAGCCATTGGAACAAGTTTCAGTTCTATCGGTCGTAATAAAGTTGTCTTCTCCGAAACCTGTAACCATGAACTGGTAACTAATATAGTGGAACAAAACAACAGAGAGATATAGGAGAGAGCAAGAAAGAAGAAACATGTCGTGGTATAGTACTTACAAGCAAAACAGAAATGATCAAAACTTTGAAGGTGCAAAAGAAAACATATATCATCGCTAGCACATATAAACAACTTTGCAAAACTTAAGATCACCTTACGCCAATCCACTAAATCAACGAGTTCTCTGTCCATGGTTTCTTCTGCAGCGTTGTGTAAAATCCTTTCCCTTTCCAATTCAGTTGGACTTTGAAGATGGAATACTCTATCCATACGACCTGGCCTTCTTAACGCCTCATCAATTTGCTTATGATTTCGTGTCGTAGCCATCAAAACTACGCCATCCTGTTTCTCAAAGCTGCATAAGTAGAAATTATAAATTGGAATGACATCAGAAAAGTCAACTGGAAAAAGGAGAAGTTACTTGAGTTTCTACTGGACCAATCCCTATTGCATTAAACAAAATACTTTGAGAAACCGCTATGAATGCAACAAATCTGGTCTTAATTTTTGATCAACATAGAAATTGGCTCTTACCCATCAAGTTCAACAAGAAGCTGATTAATGAACGATTCATGATCTTGCTGTTTTGTATGTACGAACTTCCCGCGTACACCGGCAAAGAGGTCAAAATCCTCCACAAAAATGATAACAGGTGCCTAGTCATCACAGTAAACATCAGAACATAAGATGACATCGAAACTGATGTTACATAAGACTCGGAACCTGATTATCATGAGGACTCAAAATTTAATGTCTATGAAACTGATGAATTAACAAAACAATATGAGGCAAAGCAACTAACCAAGTCTCTTGCAGTTTGAAAGAGTTCCCTGACATTCGCTGCACTTTGACCAACCCATAGTCCAGCTTCCAACTCTTGAGCTTCAACATTGACAACAGGCACTCTTGCTTCGGCTGCTATAGCGAGCGCCAGTGACGTCTTTCCCGTTCCTCTCTCACCCACAATAAGTACTCCCTGCAACGTGAATAAGCAAGCTTACAATTGAACACTGTCCCACAGGATAAGCACACAACCGTAAAGCAACATACCCGAGGTGCTCTGGCACCCATCTCCTGAAATGCCTTTGGATTCTGTAAAAATGCTACAACCTCATTGATTTCTTCTCTCATAGACTCAATACTAGCAAAGTTTTTTAATGGGATTGGTGGATTTTTCACTCTCTTCATTCTGTCGAATGCAGTTTTTATGGGGTCTATTCCAGCCTTTCTCTTTTGTTTGATTCTCCTTTTTCTATAAGTAAAATATGATTTCTGCAAAATAAATAAAACCGATTTTAGTAATCAACTGTAAGTGTAAGAAATCTGAATGATCAACAAACATGAACGGTGTAACACTAGCTACAATACTACTGCTCACGACAAATTGAGAGTGTTGGAAAGAGAAGCATAAGGAGAAAGAAAAGTTACATACCACTCTCCAGAATTTCCGTACATTTGGATCTCGGCGGAAGGGTCCATAGCCAAGAAGTCTTGGAACCTTTCTTTTCAGAAAGCGGAAAACATGATACAAAACAAACCCGTATATAGAACTTCGAATTAGAAACCAGAGGAACCACTTAAAATCTTCTGTATTGCGGGACTTGAAATTCATCTCTGCTTCAGACTGCCATTGTAAGTACCATGTTGAGCCAACAGTCTGTTCTATTTCTTCCGGCCAAGCCATTCCCAGACGCAGCCTTAACTGTGTCAGAAAAAAGTCAGAAAACAAAAAAAATAAGACACAGGGAAACAGGAGGAAAATACCCAGAGAGAGTAAAGTGATACCTGGTAAGGAATGATAAATTCGATAACTGGAAACACGACCGCCATCATAATGTCATCGTTTATATTCTGTATTCTCTCTATTACAGTATCCTTCGCATTTGATACAACTTGAGTCTTCCTCAATGCGTTAAAGAATCGAGAAACCACCCTTGTAGCCAACAGAAACTGTTGTTGAAGACTTAGCTCTGACATGGGTATCCACATCAGATGAACAGAAGTTGGGATTCCACAAGCAAGCATTTTCAGGTATAGAGCATCAAACCCTCCAAACTTCTCAAATAGCATCTCATATTCCTACAACCATAGCCAAGAGTTAAAAGCCTAAACTTCAAATTTCATCAAATAGACTAGGATTTCAGCTGGTCAACCTTGATGTCAACGTAATACTCCTTGTCATCTCCTTTTAATGCAACATACATTACAGCATAATCATGCCTAATCCTGGCACTGTCAATCAGCTTCCTGGAAACTGCATATGGAACAGCCATAGGGTCCATCTCCCACCTATTTTTGTCTTCGTTATACCAAGTCTTTGAAACAACTCTATCTCGATCCAGGAGTACTTGTTCCTTCAGATTATATAAAAAAAAAACATTAACTAATTGGTGAATGATCAATACATGTGCAAATAAGCTCTGCAAAAGACAGGGATACATAAACTTTTCACAAGGTTCCGACTAAAACTGTCTCATTTTAAGCATTACAGCAAGCATCTCAGTTCTACAAAGACCGAACAGTAAAAGGATCCAATCAATAATGTAAGCCAAAAAGATAAAGTAATCTGATTTACTTTATAGCTAGAGATCAAGATGAACACATAAACTTGCATATTCAATTAAAAAAAAAAAAAAAAAACCTTCAGAATCTACCAAAACCAAGGCAATTCTTGAGGTTTCCATCACCAAAGAATACAAATCTATAGGTTAATCACGCTAATCACAAGGCTATGATTGTAATTTATCTACCATGAAAAACATAAAGTATTGTTCCATCCACCATAATAAACACTCCGCATATTTGTGGGCTAGTACTTCATATCATAAGCCAAAAGTTACCTGTCTCTGCGCAATATATTGTTTACCAAAATCAACATCTTCCAAAAGTTTCTGTTTCAAATCAGCTTTTGCTTCTTCCTGCCACTTTTTCCAACCATGGCGTAGATGGAGCTGGATAGCTTTCGGAACAACCACCTCCTTGTCTCCAAACATCCATTTCACCTCAGCTTCAGGAAATCCTTTGACAGCTTCACCTACTGGAGTCTTTTGAACAAAAAGCTTTTCTTCACCAAACTTTTTCATACGTTTTCTGATACGATTCTGAAGATCCCTCTGCAGCTTTTTTGATTCCTCAAGGCGTTTTTTGATGCGTAGAGAAAAATCCACTGAGTCACGATCGAAAAAGGGATCAACCTCCTCGAGTTCCAAAACATTAGGCAGTATCATTTGTTCCAAGTGCTTTCTTTGAGCGTTCACTAATTCCTGCTTAATCTCAGACCTCGAAAGTTTTGTAATGGAACTTTCAGGAGCACTACAGCCAGAAAATCAATTGATCTTGTTAGTGAGACATGAAACATTTATGTCAACGGGAAAAACAGAGAGCATATACATGACAAAACATGAACAAAAGCCAACATAAAGATACACTTAGACTAAGTGCAGGAGTACAAACAAGATAATTGGCTAGAGATGTCACCTTTCAGAACTTTTTTGATTCGTTTCTCGGTTGAAGCTTTTAACCAACTCTACACACTCTCTTTCGATGAAAATAAGCTCCCTAACCCCAAAACTCAATGTTGTTGTCTCTTTCTTTAAAATGATATCAACAATCTCATCTATTCTTTCCCATATCTTGTTGTACTCGGTCTCCATTATATCCACACTCTCTTCCAATTTCTCCACTTTCTCCCTAGCACCTTTTCTCAACAGTTTTTCACTCTCTTTCTTCAATCTTAGGGCCTCATCTACAATTCCATCAGCTCGTTTCATTAACACATCTCTCTCCTTCCTCAAGCGCCTCATATCACGATACAATCCAGTCATTATCTCCTTCTGCAGTTTCTCCTTCTCCACCTTTACTGTATCCAAAGCCGTTCCCACTTCAGCAACATCTCCATTTTCCTTTCTAACCTTGTCAATAGTCTTCAGTAAAACCGAGACTGTCTCCAACAATCTGCGAGTATAATCCGAGAACTCATGATCAACTGCTTTCAAAACCACCTCTTTCTCTTTCAATGTCTCCTTCTTTTTCTTCCATATCACATCACTGACGAAAGGCACAGCTAAAGCTGGAGCTTGAAAAGAGTGAATTGGTGAAAACCCAATTGCAATACAAAATAAGACGTAAACTAAAGGCTTTGACACAAACTGAATTACGCTCTCTCTCGTCTTTGCGTTATACACAGACGATGGCACAAGCTCATTTCCCTCTCCACTTACTCTCAATGATTCTGGAACAGCTTCATTCCCGTAATCAGACTGTTTCGACCTCAAAAAACTCCCATTTACGCCGGAAAAACCAAAGCAGCCTCTAATGGGCACAAATTTCCTAGATTTATTGGATTCTCTAGACCCAAAGTTTCGATTTTTGACCCGATATCTAGGCTTTAACGATACTATACCTGAGCTCAAAGAAAGCGGAGACAACGGTGTGAGAAAGGGTGAAGATATGGAAGAAGCGGAAATGAAATCCATCGCAGCAATAACGCCGTAATGAAACTCAACACCATATCTTTGTAAAAACCTCCATTGCAGCTACTCAATATTGCTATATGAGTGAATTTTCCGTCGGCAATTCGCCGGATTTTAAACTGCAGCTAACGACGCAAGCGAGTGTCGAGAGGTTTATCAGAGAAGAAAGAGATAGAGAGAATAGACAACGGTTCAAGTTTTCAATTTAAACCGATTATCAGAACCGAATTACCAAAAACCGAATTACAAAACCGGAACATACTTTTGTGTACTTCGGTTATACACTATTAAACCAAGGTTTTTTTCTCCAAGTTTTTGTTCCTCGAGTTTACAAAAAAATGTTTTATACCAGTTGCGTAAAGAACACAAAGCTACGAGAAGAGATACCAGTACACAAATACATCATTCATATTTCTCATTAGCCGTTGTGGCAGCTGATTACAGCCGCAAACGCAGTGTTTTAGGTATTACATCATCAAATGGCAGCTGATAAGCTAGTATACTGTAAATACATATTAGTCACAACACGCAACAAAGATGAACAAATCTTTATGACCAAATCTCTCTGCGTCAACAAGAGACTTCGTCTCCCACTAAACCTTATTCTTCACGCAGAGGTTTGTCTTCTTTCAGCACATCTCATCTCCTTCCCAGTTATCTTTCTCCTTTGGCCCCGTAGGACCTTCTTCTCCATAAAGAGCAATGGGAAACAAATCAACAATGTTCTCAATAGAGAACCTAACAACCAAAGGAAGAAGATTCATGATCTTATTGATCTCAGACCCCGAATCATATGCAATGGTCGGACCCCATTCTCTCATATACTGTAACCAGCACGGCTCTATCACAGCTTCTTTACCTAAATACTCAGCTGCTACAATCACATACCTTTGGCTTGAATCCACAATGTACTTGCTTTTTGCAACATCGTTTCTGACTCCAATCCCGAGCTTTGAAGAGCCTTGGAGGTACATTCCCGGGTGAGGGAAACTCGCATGTCCGTGTTTAGATGAGTACACTGCCGGTTTGTTATCTTTCACAAACTCAATATCTGATGCATCAACCCAACCACCACCACTATGCTGAGAGAAAAACATTTGCCAAAGCTCACCAGAGAAGTTGCATATGCGGAAAGTGAAATGTTCCCAATCACCGACATGTTCTCCTATGCGGGTCATAGGTAACGTGAATAGCCCGATTTTGAGCGTGGCCGGGCCATTAAAGGGGCAAAAAATCCACATCACAATGTCGGTGAAGGTTCCACCAAGTGCTGGTTTCACATGAACGTAAAGCTCCGAGCTTTCAAGGTTTCCTTTCTTGAGATTACTCTTTGCTTCTTCGTCTCCGGGAAGATCTATCCAGAATTCCATATCGTTGCATCCTCCAGCAGGCAAGTTAGAGCCCGTGGAGTTAATCGGTTGACCTTGTGATTTCCCTGACCGGTACAACAAAGCTCCATTCTTAAAGAACCATTGTACGGATGAAGGCATGTAAGCCTCTTCTGGGTGGAAGTAGACTGTTGGTCCGAAGTGTTCGATAACCGCATGGACCTGGTCGAGATTTGGCATCGCGTGTAAGGTCGGATCAAGATTCTTTAAGCATCCAATATCAGGGACCGTCCTATCAGAAGACAGATCATACGTGCAGCAAAAGAATGACCCAACAGCTACACCTTGTGACAGCATCCCTCTCTCGCAAGGTCGGGTGCTCCACACACTAAAAGGAGAACTAGAGCCGTTCGAATTCTTCGAAGAACCCACCTCAAGTATCATCTCAGAGGTTTCACAACTCTCTGTAAGATCCTCTCTTACACATCTAACCTCCTCTGGTTCAGGTTCACCTGGTCCAGGGGTTACAATAACTCCCATTGCTCTGTAACCAACCGGAGGATTAGGTAGCCAAAAATAGCCACTGCCATTTTTCTCTGAATCTGCACTCCAAACTAAAGAATAACTCACAGGCTTTTTCAAGGGCGGGAGATCATCAGCATTGACGGCTTTGCTAGCCCGAGCTGCAAGTACATAACCTCTCAAGGGCTGATCGGTTGGCTGGCAATAGTGACCAAGGCAATGGAAACCTTCTGGAATTTCCTCGGCTCTGTAAAATGTTGCACGTTTTGATTTGTCGTGCAAAGAATCAGAGCTCCAAACTCTATGGAACTTGGTGATTTTCACCACTTCTATTTCTCCTAAATTTATTCTTCCCGTGGCAAAACCTTTACCTGCAAAGAGATTGACAATAACAGATGATACATCACTTTCAGTATCAAAGAACTAACAACACTTGTAGATAGAAAAATTGATGGTTTAAAACAGTAGAACGAGAAGGTGCTTAGCTTAATGTATTCTTTAACAAATACCCAAAAGTACGAATATATATCAGCTTCAAATTCATTACCAATACCGAGATTTATTTTCAACAAACAAAACTTATTTTGTCCCATAGAAGCATATTAAATAACATGATACCATATCCATCTACCCTTCATAACATTTAATGATAAGAGCCATTTTTTCTATGATCAGACAGACAACATTATTATTGCTTACATTGTTGAGCCAAGAAAAATTCACGAAACCAATCAAATCTAATTATAGCAAAAATTGACATTTTTAAAAAAAGTTTCATGTGAGAGAAAGTACTAGGCTTGAAATGAACTTGTGTATACTGTTCTAAGACAAAAATCTTGAATCAGAGTCAACCAAAGAAGAAAGAACAAGACAACGGAACCCATGCAGAATATTCCAAAGCATCTTCCTCAGTTCTTTCAAATTTTATATAAAATCAAGCCACAAAATTAGATAAGATTAAGTCATTAACAAAGGAAGGATCGATGATAATTAACCTTATCTTATGTACGCATGAAAGATAAAATATCGATATTATAACTAACCAAACTCAATTAATTGATTAGACCAAACCTAGCTGAAAAAATTCTAGTTCTAATCTTGATTCTTCTCCTTCATTTATCCAATGTTTCAAATTGTTCTTCCTAAGTTTACATGCTACATGAACAATTTTTTTGCAATTCTTGACACACTTACTACAATAATACGAAAAATTTGCCTAAATGAGAGTTCCTTAAACAGAATCTTGCAACTTCAATTTCATAATTATAGATAATTTGCAATTTCCAGTAAAAGAAAGTTTTTATATACCTTGTGGCCAACTAGGAAGAGGAGATGGAAGCGAGAAGGGCTTTGGCTCAGACGATTCCGAATCCAACACAGAGAGTCCTCTGCTCCAGTAAAAACAATCACACCCAAACATCTTGATAAAATTCAAGATTTTTCTCCAGAATCTGGACAATTGATAAAAACCCACCAAAACCCACGAGCTGAATTCGAGTGGGTAAGGTTCAGATTCTCCGATTGTAGAGAAATCAATGATAAAATCAGCCGATTGTTTCTCCGGGAACTGGGAAAATCACTGTTTCCAATGCCTCTCGCTCTCTATCTCTGTGCCCTTCTCTCTATACCTCAATTTGAAAGAAATTTGAAAGCAGAGAGCGTATGACTATCTCGACATTCACAGCGAACAGAGAGAGGGAGAGGCGTTGAAGTTGTAATTGCGTAAGAAAGAGGAGAAGGTTGATGATGAAGTTATGGTGTGTTTGATGCGTTTCTCAAAAAGCTCTCTTTTTTTCCCTTTCTTTGAAAGCTTTTCATAATAACCCCAGTATTATACAAACATTCAAATTAGTCCATTTACCAGAAATGTAACGGGAAAGTTTATTCATACGTTTTTAACCTCAATACTTTCAAATCTGCACAGTTTAATCCCATAATCAAACGTTTTACCACCAAAAGAAACAAAAAAAAAAAAACAACAACTTTTTTTCCTCAAGTAGCAGAATGACTAAACGTTTCGTCTACAGCACTAAGATTTACTACTTTATTGTTATTATATCTCTTCTTTGTGCTGTCTCCTTCTCCGCCGCTTCCACCGCCACATGTTATCGAAATCTCACATCCAAACACGTTTCCAAAACATGAAAACAACCCTTTCTTACCCTCTCCTCCACCGTTTCTCCGCCCTTGTTGTTTCTCCTTTCTTCTTCTTCTTCTCCTTCTTCTCCTTCCAGCCCCTCCTTTCCCGCTAGAATCATCGCTCGATCCAGCCGCTTCACCCGCTCCAGCCGTGCCATTTTTCTCTGCTCTCCACCGTTCAACTCTATGCTCAATTCCCTCTGTTTTCCCTTCAAGTATCGAACTTGCGTCCTCTTTGTTACTACTCGCGGCTTTAACCGCTGTTTTCTGCCTATTGTAAAGCCCCTGAGCAATCGCAGCCGCAACCACAGACGCTGATGGTCCAATATCAGAGCTACAAAGTGAACCATTAACCATACTATCCGCACCAACAACAATACCACCACCACCACCTCCTCCTCCTCCATTGCCAGTAACAACCCCTGTTTTCACACCATAATCATTCGTAGACGTGGTTAAATCCGTTTGATCGCTATTCGTACGGCGATGCATCATCCTTGAAGCTTCTTGATCTCTTTTATTACTATTCGTCTCTCCTCTTCGACTTCCATCGAAAACCTCGATAGATAACGGCATACTCCGTTGACCACCGTCGAGAAGAGCAACACCTAGCCGTAAAAACCCTTGAAGCCTCCCTGAAGGACGACGAATCTGAAGCGTCACAAGCCTCATATTATTATTCCCACCACCACCATCGTCACCATCACCAAAACCAGACCAAGGAGCAAAAAGATCGCTAAGAAGAACATTCACAGTACCAACAAGAGCATCTTTAGCCCAAGCCGCTGCGTAAATCTCAATCACAATCGCTGATGCGTCAACGTCAAGAATCTTGTCGTTAACACGAAACACAAACTTCTCGTTCCATATAGGGTTAGCTCTATTGGATTGATCAACACGCGTAGTGAGTTTTCTCATAGGATCGGTGTTGATCCAAGCGACGGAATACGTTTTCATGTTTCTTGAAACAGGGGCTAAATCTTGAGCTGAGATTAGATTGATCTCAAGAACGGGACATGCGAACTTGAGCCGACCCATTTTTGTGTGGTTTCTAAAATCTAAATGGATTCGTCTAATCTTCGCAAGAAGCGGGAGATTAAAGAAAGTTAAAAAGCTTAACCTTCTTTTGGTCACTCGTCTTCGTGAGAATGATTATACGATCAGTTGAGAAGAGATTGAGAAGGAGAATAAAAGGAGAGGTTAAGAGGGAGCGTAAGATGAGGAAGGAAGCTTGTGGTTTTTAGACATGATAAGAACTAGACCGTTGGTTATTTACTGTCATTCAACGGAAAATTTGTTATAAAAGTTGGAGACTTTAGGGAGACAGACATTATTTCTTTGACTCTTTGGTCTATGTTGATCTAAAGATTTGTTCTTTAAAAGTTTGACTTGTATCGGTGTAAAGAAAAAATAAAGATCTAGTCAATGAGAATGAAACTCTGTTATAACGAATTAACGATTTTTTCGGAAGAATAGCGGAATTTCTTTTTTCTTCTAACTCTTTGAATTTTCTTTTGTAATTTTACCTCTGTTTTTTAATTAATAAAATCCAGCGTTTGTTATTCTTTGGCAAGGCAATCAAGACATATAAATAATTAAATACAACTTGAAATAAAAATCAGATAAATATTTAAAATTTGATTGGTCTTCCTCTAATTCCTACTATTTCTAATTCGATACGCCTTTCAAGCTAGTGTTTATATGATTTGGCGGGAACGAAATGGTCGCAGGCACGGCGAGGATCAACACTCGGAAACACTCATCATAAGGTGGATAGATAAACAAGTCAGAAACCGGATCACAACTCTTATACGCATGGGCGATAGAAGATACGACGAGGCGTACCAAATGTGGCTAGCTACTCGGAGCTAATTTTTTCAAATTCTCATAGAATTTTTTTTCAGCTAATCTTTTCAACTCTATTTCAAACTCAAGAAGCACCTAGTTGTAAAAACGTTTATTTTTTCTTTTGAATATAATTTAACATTAAATTAAAAAAAAATAAAAAAAAATTCCTACTATTTCGCTCTCCCACGACAACAACAAAAAACAAAATTTCAATAGATAAGGGAATAGGGTTGTTTAGAATTGCCAGTGTATTTTTAATTTAAACCTTGGTTGAAAACTATGGAAACAAATTAAACCCCCCTTATAAACGTGTATAGGTTGATAATTTGTTAGGTAAATTTAGTTGAGCGGATATTTTTGTTACTGTCTAAGACTTCATCGAAAGCTATTACTTGCAAGTGCAAGTTACTTTACATTTATGTACATTTTTTCTCTCTCACTTCTAAAAACCAACCAAAGAAAGAAAACAAATCGAATAAACTGGTTTAGGCTAAAAATTAGACCCTTACTCTAGTGAACACACCCTGGAGATCTCCACTAGTAACGATTGTCATTTAAAACATTTTTTTATTTGGATCAGCCAATTCCACAAATTGTGAATAGTATTATCGTTTCACAATGCATAAATGATAAATCATTATAAAATAGTTAAAAACCCGATACAAATTGTTTTCATTTTACTAACGCCTAGCTAGGATCTTATTCACTCATACCAACGAAAAGAAAAGATCAAGAAATCCTTGGTGTGCTGTTAGCACGTGCCCTTGACCTTCTAAGTCGCAACCAAGATTTTAACATGTAGACAAGTAGTAGACATACGTAGACAAAATCTAATCTACCACAACTTCCATCTCCATTCACCAATATATATTCAATGAATTAATAATATACTGTATCTCTCTTCCCTGTAGATTTGTCTCAAACATGGTTGTCCACTTGATCTCTCTCCTCACACAAACCCTAGCCCTAATCATTCTATCTCTTCCCTCTATCATCAACACTTCCCAATTGGATTACGATACTCTAGTTTTCAAACAATGCGATTCATTGGCCCCAAACATCTTCCAAAAAACAAGACCAAATTACTCGAATAATATTCTCTTTCTTCGTGCACAAGCCCTTTCTTCTCTCTTACGCAAACTCGAATCCGAATCCTCTTGGTCTAAGTTCTTTAAGACTCTAGTTGGTAACGAAGAACACGCCGTCTCAGGATGGTTCCAATGCAGAGAAGATTATCCGAATGGGATATGCCATAAATGTGTTGGTGCTCTTCGTGAGATTTCGTCTAGATTGTGTGGAAATGCCACGTCAGCTCGTATTCATCTTCGAGGATGTCACTTGATATACAAATTCGAACGTATTGACACCCCTGGCGCTCGTAAGTATATTCATCTTTTTGTTGACAAAAAAGCATAAGATTAACTGTGAGAAGAAAAAAAATGGTTGGAAGATTTTCTTATTTACTTTCTTTAAATTAATAACATCTTATTTCTTACGTATATAAACTAAGTTTTTTTTTTTTGACAAACAAAGTTGAATTCACAACAAAATAAACGAACACTATTCAAATTCAATACGTAAAATTAAATAAGTTGAATTTAGCAATCTTTTTTGGTTGGTGTCCAACACGATTCTCTTCTTCTTGTTAATTTTAGAGGAAATTAATAATCATCACAACTACAAGTTATTTGAGAGCCCGGAACACGGTCTCATCCACAAGATATGCGAGGGAGCTACCGCAGAGACTTTAGCCGGATTCGAAGAGATGAGGGCGGAGGCACTCATTGCAGCCGAAACAGGAGTCGTTGACGGGCACGGATTCTATGAGGATAGCTACAAGCTCCTCCACGTTGTGGCTCAATGCGACGGCCACGTTGAAGCTTGCGATTGCGGAGAGTGCATAAGTTCCGCGGCGGCGGCTGCAGCAGAAGAGTGCCGGTGGTCTGTAGCCGGTCAAATATACTTAGAAGGGTGCCACGTCAGTTATACATATCACCCGCATGAACTTCCCAATGATTCGTACCACGGTACGTACGATTAAACCAAAGACCAAAGTGAACTAAAACAACTATCAGTTGTAAATTGTAATGTACTAATTAAGCTGTGCCAATTTTTTCTTTTGGCAGAAGAAGGTTCAAAAGTTAACACGGGGAAGTCGTTGGCGATAGTTGTAGGAGGAGTAGCGGCATTGGTCTTTGTTGCTATCTTTTTTATGTTCCTAAAAAGCTTGCGTAAAAAAGGAGATGGTACGTTAACGTTATTATTAGTTTTGATATCATTTTATTCGATTTTCATTTGAAAACATAAAAATGTAGAGATATGCTAATTAGCTAATACATATATAGATCCCGGGGATGTGCCTTTAGTCAAGTGGTTAAGTCCACTTGACTCCGCCTTCTCCACCGGAGTTCGACTCCACTAAGTCGCGTTACCCCGCGTAGTAGGAATTGGCTATGGATCGGATCTTGTCGATCCAAAGATGTCAAAAAAAAAATATAGATCCCATGTTCATTAATTTCTTAAACAAAAACCATGTTCTAAATAGTTGGATGGTGCAATTTAATTATGTAAATACAAAAATGAGTTTACTAATTAAATATCCTACTGCAGATTGTTGAAGAGATGGTCTACGTACATGATCAGAGAGATGTTGGGAAAATACTTTTGTTCCTTGTAATCGTTCTACCAACCAAGGAAAATCTCCTTCTAATGATTTTCTTTACAATGATAGATATATCAAATTTTCGATTGGGAAACTAAAAGTGGTAGGATACGTTAATCATGTAAATAATTGTATTGAATTAAATATTTCTCCTAAAAGTTATACTAAGTCATAATGTTAGCTGAACCAATTAAAAAATAGTCTTTTGAGTCTAATAGTAAAACTACGACGTTTTGGATAAAAAGAATGGGATTACATTTATGTTTTGTAACCGCCAAAACCAATACATATCATATCACGTTATAGCCCACAACTTTTCTTTAATTATAATGTGTCTTTTAGTCAATGGGCCTATTTAGTGGACCTACGCAAAAATGGAAATATTCAAATCTGGAAAAAATCTGTCAACGACGAAAAAAAAAAAAAAAAACCCGAAGATAGGACATTCATTCCTCTAAGGCAACGCCTTTAGCTACTCAACTACTTGAGCTCATTCGAGACCATAAACATAAACATAATTTTTTTTTTTTTTTTAAATGAACCTAAAAAAGATTCAATAATAAGTAATCAGATGATTCATGAACTATCTGTTCAAAAAAAATCCATGGAGTGGACAAATTCTTCACTTAGCGAAAACAAAATAAAAAATTTGATTGATAGAAAAAAAGACAATTAGAAATCAAATAGAAGCTATTTCAAAAGAAAAACAAAACTTAACTAATAGTTGTACCAAACTGCGTTATGATTCTAAAATAATTGAGTCTTCAAAAAAAATTTGGCAGACATTCAAAAGAAAAAATACCCGATTAATTCGTAAATCTTTTTTTTTTTCTAAAATTTTGCATCGAACAACTGTCTATAGCTATTTTTCTAGGTATCATTAATATTCGAAGAATTACTACACAACTTTTTTTTGAATCAACAAAAACAATTCTTGATAAATATAGTTACAAGAATGAAGAAAATGGAGAAAAAACAAAAATACTATTTATTTTATTTTGACTATAAAAAAATTAATATCCAATAAAAAAAATGAGTTATGACCTATGCTCTTTATCACAAGCATATGTATTTTACAAATTATCACAAATTAAAGTTAGTAACGTTTCTAAATTAAAGGCTGTTCTTGAATATAACATATGCATAACATCCTTTTTTGTTAAGAATCAAATAAAGGTTTTTTTCAAGAACAAGGAATCTTTCATTATGAATTGAAAATAAAACCTTTTTGAATTCCGAAGTAAATCAATGGAAAAACTGGTTACGAAGTCAGTATCAATACAATTTACCCCAGATTGCATGGGCTAGATTAGTACCCCAAAATTGGAAAAATAAAATAAATAAAGATTCTCTAGTTCTAAACCCAAGTTTAACCAAAGAGGATTCATATGAAAAAAAGAAATTTGATAATTATAAAAAACAAAATTTTTTTGAGGCCGACTCATTATTAAATCCAAAACATAATGTAAAAAAAGATGGGAGACTCACAAAAATGCCCCTTTTTCAATACCCCTTTTCAAAAATGCCCCCTATGGATATCCATTTTTAAAAATACCCCTTTTATGTACAAAATGACTAAATTACCCTTCTTTTAATAAAAGATATCATAAATATATAAGGAAATATAACAAAATTA